TTTCTTGGCTACTACACAAGCATAATCAAACCAAGGAGCCTTACGAGAATAGAGCCTATAAGTAAAAGATTTAAGAGGAATAAGCTTATCAAGAATAGAAGTAATGTAGATATTAAAAGCACAGACAAAATCATCAACATCAGAAAATAAGGTAGTATCAAAAATAGTTTCAGTAAGAGATTGAAGAAAAATATCTTTATTAAGAGAAGACCAGCATCTTTTAGAAATAGACATAGATGAATTTGAAGGAAGAAAATCTAATGGAAAAACAGATTCAATAAGAAGGTGATCAGAATAAGGAACAGAGCTAGCAGAGATATTAATAGGCTTAGAAAAAGATGAAGCTATAATAAAATCAATAGTGTTACCAGAAATATGGGTAGGAAAAGAACAATATTGAGTTAAGTTAAAAAGAGACAAAATATCATTAAATCTACGAGTGTAAGAACATGATAAATTATTGATGTGCAAGTTGAAATCACCAGAGATGTAGAAAGGAATAGAAAAAGAGTAGAGAGATTCAGCGAGTGAGTAGAATTTATCTAAAAATAAAGTGAGAGAAGAAGAAGGAGGGCGATAGATTACAGCAATATAAAAAGATAGAGAAGAAGACTTAAGAGATACAGCAAGACATTGAAAAGAAGAAAAATGAAAGGAAGTATTAATGGAAACAGTAAATAGAGATTTATAAAACAGACAGATACCCCCATAAGAAGAATGAGAAGATAATAGAAGAGTTTTTGGAGGTCTAGAGAGTTCAAGGAAGCTGTAACCATCAGGAGTAGCAAGAATAAGAGAGGGAAAGTTAGAGTCCTCGTGCCAAGTTTCAGTAAGAGTAAAAAAATCAGGTAAGGAGGAAGAAATTATTTGATGGATATAGAGCGATTTTTTATTAATTGATCTTATGTTAATATTAAACAGTGAAAATGTAGAGGTAGGTTGGAAATTGGTACTTTTAAATCTAGTTATATTATTTAAACTAATAGAATTAGAATTATTATTCTTATCATTAGTATTAATTACATTAGAGTGGGATTTAATAAAATTATTATTATTCTTATTATACTTGCTATTAGCATTATTATTATTAATATAATTATGGTTACTAACTATATTTATTTTTTTGTTAGAGTTAGATTTATTATTTTTATTGTTATTATTAGACCTAAGATAAAAGTAAAAAATTCGCCGCCGAACTACTCTCGTCGGAGACAAAGGAGTGTTAGAGAGGCTTAAGAGAAAGTCTCTAGAATAAGACATAATAATATTTACAAGTTAAAGAAAAAGATGTAGAAAGATATAGAAAAAAAATAGTCATAGTAAAAAAGAAGAGAACTCACTTGTTCAGAAGCAAAAAACAAGAATCCACCCAAATTACAAAACCACTGAGAAAACGTGCCGCCATCACGCTAAACGTAAACTATCGTAAACGTAAACCTTTGCCTGAGGACCTCATGAGAAAATTAGCCGGGGAGTTTGTATTACGCCAAAATCGATCAAAATCAGATTCAACTTTCAAAAGAGAGCCAGAAACGCCTTGCTTTAAGCACACATCGAGGTGTGTTTTTTTTAAAAACGTTTACCTTTTGGTATACTATCGGCTCGAACATATGGTGGTTTACTTGGATGACATTTTGATTGGTGGAAAATCAGCAGATGAACACATCCAAAGTTTGAGAAAACTATTTCAGCGACTCCAAGAAAAGGGTCTTAAATGCAATCACCATAAATGTTCATTTTCCAGACAATCTGTTGAGTACTTGAGTCATACCATTTCTCATCGGGGAATAGGCCCAGGTAAAAAAATTGATGCCGTAGTTTCAATGCCCCGACCAGAAAATGTTTCAACATTAAAATCATTTATTGGATCGGTTCAATTTTACAAAAAGTTCCTTTCAGGTTTGTCTAGCGTTGCGGAACCATTATATCGTCTGACAAAAAAGATTGAATTGTGGAAATGGACATCGGATCAAGAAAATTCATTTCATGGTTTAAAGAGGATGATACTTTCAAGTGTGATGTTATTGCATTTCGACAAATCATTACCAGTGGGAATAGCATGTGATGCTTCAGAAGTGGATATTGGTGCCGTTCTATTCCATAGATTCCCAGATGGATCAGAACGTCCTGTTTTCAATGTTTCAAAGACACTTTCAAGTGCTCAAAGAAATTACAACCAGATTCATAAGGAAGCACTTGCAATTATTTTTGCCTTACCAAAATTCCATTCATACCTGTTTGGAAGAAAGTTCACAATTGTGACGGATCACAGACCACTTCTGGCTTTATTCGACCTGACAAAAGCTACTCCTAAACTGACATTAAACCGACTGACAAGATGGGCTCTAATTTTACAACAATACGACTACACGATTAAATACAGGAAGACTTCAGAACACGGAAATGCAGATGTGTTGAGTCGCTTAACATCGGGTGAAGATCCAAAATTTGATGCTGCAAAGGAGCAACTGGATTTTTCAAAGGTGTGTAAAATTAGCTCAGTCAGTCAGAAAATGTTGCATTTAGATCCAAAGTTGTTTGAGAATGAATCGCAAAAGGATCCGGTTATTTTTTTTGTCGGTAAATTCCTTCAAAAAAGCTGGCCAAGAAAAATTTTGAACAAGGAAATTCTACATTTTATGAAATTAAAAAATTTCTTGAGCCAGGCAGGAGGCTGTTTACTGATGGGAAACAGAGTGGTAATCCCAGAATCTTTCAAAAAAAGCCCTCAAACTTTTACATCTGGGACACTTTGGCATGCAACGAATGAAGCAACTGGCACGATCAGCGATTTATTGGCCAAACATGGACAGAGACATCGAAAGATTGTGCAGAGAATGTTCATCATGTCAAGAACATCAGAACAATACTCCTAAAGCGCCCAACGAGCCTTGGCCTGTTCCGGATAGACCTTGGGGTAGATTACACATCGACCATGCCATAAACTTTATGGGAACAAATTGGCTCGTAATCGTGGATGCTTTTTCTAAATACCCTAGCATCCATCCAACAAAAAAATTACGGCATCGTCAACTATTGACTTGCTAGAACAGGAGTTTACACATTTTGGATACCCGCTCGCAATGGTAACTGACAAATTTCACTTGTGAGGAATTTTAACTCTATTTGAAAGAGAGGGGGATTCAGCACCTTACAGGTGCCCCCTACCACCCGGCGACTAATGGTCAGGCAGAGAGGTTCGTTCAAACTTTCAAAAGGTCTATGGCAAAATTAACATTACCGACCGAAGTTGCCTTACGAGAGTTCCTCATGCAATACAGAAGAACTCCTTTGTCAACCGGTTTTTCACCAAGTCAATTACTGCATGGCAGGCAAATACGAACTAAAATTGATATTCGCCAACCAGTTTCAAAAGGGAATGAGAGGGAAGAGAACTACAGTAAGAAGAAAGGTTCGATAGAGGTCAACCGTGTTATGTCAAGCACTGTGGCCCAAGAAGAGATCACCAAGCCAGATGGATTCCTGCAATAGTTTTTCAAAGATTAGGTCGAAGACACTTATTGGTAAAACCGATCCCACATGGTCTTCTATAGAAACGACACGTAGAGCAAATCCGTCCTAGATACGGTGCCAACCAAGATGGCGACCCCAGGGGAAATTACTGGGACCCAGTCCCAATTTGACTCAAGGCATTCAATCGTCAAACCTACCATGCTTGAAAGTAGTCAAGTACTTTTCGACCCGATATCTCTACCTAGAAGATCGGAACGTATACGCCATAAGTTTGCCCACAAACATTATTTAGTTGGGAAGGTGTTATGTGCAGGACATATCGCTAATTATTGTTCTATTGTTTATGGGCGATAATTGATTGTTAACGTGACCCTTTTTGTGAACATGCTTTATTGTATTCGTTCAATTCGTTGATTATTTTATAACTTGTTACTTGTTATATTAATTTAACCGTAATAAAGTAATATACGTGCATAGGGCTCCCATTTACTTTTCGCAAAAAAAGGACAATTTTTACAAAAAATCTAAATTCAGTAAATACTAATAACAATGGAAACTTCTTTTATTCAACTTCAAAATTTAAAACCAGATTCAGATATATGTATATGTGTGTATATATATATATATATATATATATATATATATATATATATATATATATATATATATATATATATGTCTGTGTA